CTGGTCACACTGAAGGTAAGACAGGTGTCTCTCCTGATAGACTGGTCACACTGAAGGTAAGACGGGTGTCTCTCCTGATAGACTGGTCACACTGAAGGTAATACTAGTCACAGGTCTGTAGGCAGAGGGCTCTAGTGAAGGGGAGAGGAGTTTTTAAAAATTGCTCTTTTGTCCAGAAACATTTCACTTGCAACAAAAGTTGATCTCGGTTTTATGCCATTTCTCAATTTGGTCATCGTAAGGGGTAAAATGATAAACTTTATCAGAAAAAAAAGCCCCCTATGGAATACTTCTAGTATTGCCAGACAGTAAGGTTCTCTTCTGCTATCCTGAATTCTTGAGACTTGTTTATTGCCACACCTTGAACATTTATTTAAAATGGATTTCAGTTTACGGTATACTAGGTAGTTTTAGTTTAGTTGGTTGAATTTATTTGCTTTTTTGTCAGAGATTATTTTCCAGTTTTTTATTCTTGTTTCAGGTCATAGATTCAACCTCTGAGCCACCGGCTGTGGAAATCTTCATCCCAGGTGAAGAAAATGAGGACTTCCTACACTCTATAAACCAGCTTCTTCTCTCTGAACCAGAAATATTCATGTAAGGATTCAGACTCACTACAGTATTTCAGTCAACAGCTAATATTGAGATAGTTTTTACCTCCAATATTTCGATGTCTAGCAGGACATCTTCATCAGGGAATGAGGCTATCCAGGTGAATAGCCTCTATTCATCGAAATATTGGAGGTAAAAACTATCTCAATATTAGCTGTTGACTGAAGAAAAAAATCACATCATTCTCATAAAATAACACAGCTGATGAAATTCTTCTCTAAGTGACTGTTTTTTCTGAAATGGTGACTGTTAAATATAGTCATCACACAATCAGATAGTCAGCTGAGTGACTGGTATTCTTGACTTTATAACTGATAAATAGTTGTAACACAATTTCTGTCATATTGGCAGACAAAAGCTTTTACTTTAACTGCTGATGGATGAAATTTTTGTAGTTACAAAGTGGCTGACACTGCCAATGAATTTTTTATTGGATTGCCAGATTTTAAGGATAATCGACTCTTTTTTCAGGCCTGATGACATCTGCAGTGACACAGTTGATGAAGACGTATTACAAGAATCTCAAACAGACATTTCCTTGAATCAGAGCAGTTACTCTGATGAACCAGATAATTCACTCTACATCACTGTAGACGAATTCGGTGAATCTGCCATTTCGGATCTGCCAAATATGGATGCCAATTCTGCAGGCAGTGAGGAATCTCTGTCTCTAAATAATAACACTGATGTCAAAAATCAAAATGCCAGCTCTGATGGTGTTGCCTCTGAAAGACATCAATCTACCAGCTCAAGTTTAGGTGAGTACTTAATTAGATTAAAGATTTTGCTGTCTTGTTTGCTTATTCTTATTACTGTTTTGGCTTATTTGATTTTATTAAACAGATTATTTTGTGTTATCTTATACATATAAACTTTCACCAAAGTTTGACACTTTTTTAAAATTAAAATAGGAGCCATTACTGTAACCTTCAGATTTTTCTTGCTACGTGAATATGTCTCAAAAAGATGTTTAGCTTCTTTATACATTTCATAATCAGTTACTTGGAAACAATTCCTATACACTTTGCAATGAATTACAGAAAACCTCTCTTGAAAATAGGTGCTTGGAAACCATTATGCCATAATTAATAATGAATTTGGGAAAACCTATCTTATAAGTCGGTAACTTAAAAAAAAAAAAAGAAAAAAACTGCTCGATTTTGTCATTCCACATCATTAAGTGAAGAGCATATTGCGTTAGGTGAGATCAGTGCTGGAGGAGACGGATTGTGTTGCCAGCTGACAGTCCTCAGCCTAGAGGATTGTGACACCTTGCCACGCCCACCTCTGTTACAGATACCAAAGCCTGGAGATTACCTAGATGTTCACGTCAGCCTGGTTTTTAACCCGGGAAATTTTGTGGTAGGAGGTTATAGTATTGGGCTCTATTCCCATAGATTTAGATCGATCTATCCCCGCGGGGAGTCTCACTAGATTACTTTCAGATAATCCGACTTAAATGTCCGTCCCGCCTACTACAAGCTGTAAGAGTGTAATTAACTTTCGTGTCCGCCCGGCTGACAGCTATTTAGCGTGAACCCCCAGGGAGTTAGGTCGATCTAATCTATGGAAATGGGGTGTTGATCTTAGCATTGTGTTTGTTGAGAATGTACCAAAATGCAGTTAGTTGAGCCATATTGAAATGTAGTTTTTTGCATGATATTGTTTTTTAAAAAGACAAGAAAACCACTCCCCTACCACCACTCCTGTGTTTTCATTTTGAAATTTTATGGAAACTTTTTTGGCAGGAGAGTTTGAATTTCATTTAATTTTAATTGGCATAAATGCAATATTAGTTTTACCCCTTTGATTAATTAATTGTCACTTCTATTTATATCCAAAATTCCGTATCCTCATCCATGTTATCATTTTCAAAGTATATGATTATATCCTATTTATTCCAGTGTGTCCCATATGAAAGCATGGAGGAGACTCTAGAGTTGATGGCCCAGATGTCAGTGTTCTATACAAAGGTAGGGGATTGTTAAGTCTTTCATCCCATCAAGACTGAACAGTACAAGAGGGTGACCAATATAAAGTAAATGCATGATAGATTTATCCTGTTTGTGAAGTGAAATCATGAAGGCCAAGGGAAGATAAATTTGTGAATTTTACAGATACTGTTTTTCTTTTTTTAAAAAGTTATAAACCCTTTAAATCAAAACATTTCCTATTGAGTGGTAGCAACAAAACTGAAAACCAGGATACCTTATAAATCTGCTCCATACAGAAAAAAAGGATGTACTTTTTTCAAGGTACCAAATGCAAAAGTGAGCATAGACAAGGTCAAACCAGGGGACCTGTTAGCTGGGGTGCTGGAAGGGGTCTGGTACAGGGTGGAAGTGAGGGCACTGGTTGGAGAACAGGTGAGCTTGGGGCTTGATTAACCCTTGAGAGCCTCATGGAGACTGGAGAGAGAATGAAAATAGCCATTACAACATCATTTAGGGAAGAAGTAGAATGTGTGCTTAGAACTGTGTGTTCAATTTTGAGAATCTCTGTATATCGAGTGTGGGATAAAGATTTGAGGTAATGAGTATATATTGATATGAATCTATGTTACTTATATTGTCATTAAAGTGTATGTCAATAAAAATGAGATTATATCACGTCTCTGAATGTCTGTCTTCTCACTTCTTTTCGTTTTTTTTTTTTTTTTTTTTTTTTTTTTATCAATATATATATTTTATATCCCAGGTATCTGTGTATTTTGTTGATTATGGAGACTTCAGTATCATGTCACCAGAAGACTTACAGCCACTTCCAGCCCACTTTAGATACATGCCATTCCAAGCTGTCAAGGCAAAATTAGCAGGTAAGCACTAACAGATTTATGTAAGTGACATTTTAAGTGCATGCCTTATCAAGTTACCAAAGCAAAGTTGTTGGTAAGAACTTAAGATATGACTATTTTAGGTACATGTGATTGTAAATTGTCAAAGTGAAGCTGTCAAGCTAGTTTGATATAGGAGCATGTAGATTTTAAGCAGATTTTATGAGCTTTGTCTTAGTTTATGTATTGTTTTAAAGCAGATATTAATATCATTTGATTGTTCTTTAGAGAAAGGTAGATGAGCAAAAACTTCATGAAGCTTTTTTGGCACTCTTGAATGATTTTCCCTTACTTAATCTGCTTGAATGATGGTAAGTGCCAGCTGTGCTCTTTTTAAATGGAATACAATTTCTATTATCTGACCGTACTCAATATATTTTAGGTGTTCGGCCTCTTGGTGGGAGGGACTGGTCCAAAGCAGCCAAGGACAGGTTTATAGAACTGGCCAATGAGAAGGATCTGGTGGGACTGATATGTAATGACAAGGATTCTGATAGGGTGGCTATCAGATTGATTGACACTAGCCAGGAAGGGGTGGATCTAACAATTGACAGTGTGCTTGTTGAGGAGGGGCTTGTTGAAAGGAAGTGATGGGATGGGTGGAGTCAATTTGTCAAGAAACTTGCATCCTAACTGTTGATTGGTTTTCGGGAGGAGCTGTATTAGTTCGGCTGATGTGATTGAATGAGGCTGGTTTCCTGTGTTGATTGATATATATTGAAAACAAAATGACTGAGGTGTCAGATTGACATAAATGAAGTGCTTGCCAAAAAGAACTGCTTGCGAACATCAGTATTTTATGATAATGCTCAAAATTCTGCCCTTGCAATCTTCTTTTTAAATGGACAGAAAATCATTGAATTTTTTTAATTCATTTCTTCAGGGCAGACAGTGGGATGTGTTTGGTGGGATGAGTGAGATAGTTCTACATATAATTGCAAGCATCAAGCAGAAATGAATAAAAAAAAGTTTTGTCAAAATTCTTCAGTCAATCTATGCAAAAGTCATGGACTATTTCAAAATGCTCAAAGTTGCATTCAGGGGCGGATTTAGGCCGTCTTCTGGGTCTTCCGGAAGACGGTCAGATTTTCAAGTTTACATTGACGGGTATCTAATTTTTTCTGTTGGAAGACGGTCAAAACTGGAGGATGAATCAACAAAGAAAATTTGGAAGACTGTCAGTAAATGGCTCTGAATCCACCCCTGGCATTGGTGTAGTGCATCATTGTGTTGTTATGTCTTACTATGCACAAAGTATTCTTCTATTTGCATCCATTCCTTACATCGGAAATTTTAAAAATATATGCTGTTGATGTACAGAAAAAGGCACTTCATTTTCTATGCTTTTGTATGTCACAATGCTTGTATGAGGACAGAGACGTAAACTGATGTTGTAAATTCTCGATTTTAACTCTGTTATTTCAAAAATGGACATTTACACTCATTTAAGTGAATTGTGTTTGTTGAGATAGCTCTAGTTGGAGATTGTGACAGTTGAGATTGTGCTGGGTGAGACGAAGGTTCTCTGTGAAGAAAACGGAGACGGGGAAAGAAGCCTCTGTAATCAATCCTTACATTTCTGATGTTAAGATTTTTAAAATAAATTTGGATTAAAAGATGTTATATGCAAAAGCACTTTCTTTAAAAAACACGCTCGTCTGTTATCTTGATTGGCTACTGAATATAAATATAACAGATAACAACTCTATAATACCAAAGAAGTAGACGGTCATGCAAACAAATACGATCAAAATCGGTTTTAGATTTTCAGATTATTTTATAAAACCGCAATATGTATTAGTAAAGTATGCACTAATGTAATCTTCTGCAAATAAAAAAAATATATATTTATAAATATACATGGGAACAAAACGGCGGTGACGTGTGGTTGGTGCCCGCTTAATAAATAAAAAATACAGTGTGTGTATATATGTTTAAAACGAGTTGTTAGCACCGCATGACGTCACACGAGACTAGAAAACGAGAGTCGGCGTGAGGTGGGTCTAAAAAAGTACCGTTCAGCAATAAGGGCGAGACTCGTGCACCGAGAATGCTCTATAATACTGTACCTCTTATATTACGTTTCTCGTGAAATGACTATTTGCACTTTTCACTTCAAAAGACTATCTTACAAACGATGATACGCGTCGGCAATGTCTGATATGATTTACAGGGGTATATGGTTAGATAGGAAAATATACTTGAAACTGATAAACATATCTCGGCAGTCTTGAAAGGTGTTAAAGTGGCGATAAACACTGAAGGCCAAGTAAAAA